CAAACATATGAGTCGAAGTTTATCTGTTCCTTCTTGGATTAGAAGCTGATATCTGGGCCCCTCGATGATTTTGTTTTGACCTATGTACCGGGCCCGGTCAGAACTAAGTTGATGTGTTCAATTAAGTTCTTTGTCAAACAAATCGGAAATCGGGAAACAAATGTTGGACAATAAGTAAGACATTGTTCCATGTATTTGTCCGACTGATATCTAGAACAGAGGATTATATGATCACTTATCTTAAATGGCGTACCATCATCTTCTCAGTTTCGAGAAACCTTGAAAAGAGCTACGATTGCCGATCGGTTCCTGAAGTCATACTTGCAGTAATAGTTATTAGACTTATCCAAGTGGGAGACTGTTGGATAAGGTGTCTAAGTCCATAACTATTTCTGGTATGTACTTGACCCGACCCGGCATGGTCCATTTGGGTTGCATGGCACCATGCAATTGGATAGACTAAATGAGAGAAATAACACTTGGAGATTATTAATATATTATAAGTTCTAATATATTAATAATATTATTTGATTAGTTTGATCAAGAATTAATTTAGAATTAATTAAGTGATCAAAAGATAACTAATTAAATATATGGGTTGATTATGTAAATCATCCATATCTTGTATAGTGGGCTAAAAGGCTCCATGGACTATCAAGTTGGGTTCCACCCATAGGATGCTCCATGGGAGTTACAAACCCATGGGTCATGGAAATGAAGAGTCATGACACATTAGGGTTTAACCCTAGATGTGTCAACACTATATAAGTAACATGTTCTCCACCCAAAATCGGCTACACTAAGAAACAAGAGGGCTTGGCCGATTTTGAGAAGTGAGTATTCTCTCATAAGTTCTTCCAAGAGCATTTGGTGTTGTGTGAAGCATTTGAGGCATCACACTTGGGGTGCTAGGCTCACAAGGTTTCAAGGAACACAAGCAACAACAAGGTAAGTTATTCTATCTATACTTAATGTTAAAATTGTTCCCCATGTATGCTAGATAGGAATATAACCTTGGAATTCAACTTTGCATGACAATTAGACAAACATAGATCCAAGGTTATTAGGGTTGCATGTACACTTAGGAAGTGTTAGAATGCTCAAAACCCATCAGTTACGAATGAAACGAAGAAGGGCATATTTCTAAGGACTGCCCAAGGAAGAAAGAGGCGGTGAGGCCTAACATTCCACCGAGGCCAAAGACAAGAGCATTCCAGATAACCCTGGAAGCAGCAAGGGATGAAGCAGATGTCGCTTCAAGTACCTTTCTTGTAAATGGATTGTTTGCTAATATGTTGTTTGACTATGGAGGAAATTATTTATTTATATCACATAAATTTAGTGGAAGACTAGCATTGCCTATAAATAAACTTGATAACGCTCTAATTGTAGAAGTTGTCAGTGGCAAGTTCATACCTGTTAGTAATTGTGTTAGAAACATCATCATCTACTTGAACGGAAATAAATTCCACAAAGAGTAATTACCCATTGAGTTGAACGGTTTTGACATAGTACTGTAAATAGATTGGCTTAGTGCAAACGATGTCGAGATACTATGCAGGATGAAGATGGTGAGAGTAAACCCACCTAGAAAATAGTCTCTTATGGTATACGGGGACAAACATAGAGTAATATTTAGAATCATTTCCCTGATGAAAGTTAGGAAGTGTTTGTCCAAAGGATGCACATCATATTTGGCATTTATGATTGATGCAAAGAAGAATAAGAAAGAAAGAAATGCAAAGAATACCAATGGTGTGTGACTAGCCATAAGTCTTTCCTGAAGATCTTCCTGGATTGCCCCTTGATAGACAAGTAGAGTTTCGAATAGACTTGTTGTCAGGATCGGTGCCAATTGCAAAAGCATCATACCGATTAGAACCGATAGAGATGAAGGAGCTTATGATACAAATTCAGGAGTTGTTAGACAACGATTTCATTAGACCTAGTTCTTCACCCTGGGGAGCTCTGGTGTTATACGTAAAGAAGAAGCATGGAAGCATGAGGATGTGCATAGACTATAAAGAGCTAAACAAGGCAACGGTAAAGAACAAGTATCCATTGCCAAGGATTGATAACCTATTCAATCAGCTGCAAGGTTCGAACTATTTCTCAAAGATCGATCTTAGGTCAAGATATCATTAGCTGAAGGTGAGAGAACAAGATATCAATAAGACCGCAATCAGAACGAGATACGGACACTATGAGTTCTTGGTTATGTTATTTGTACTAACCAATACTCCAACAACATTTATGGAATTGATGAATAGGGTTTGTAAACGCCTCGATAAATCCAAAATAGTGTTCATAGATGATATTCTAGTTTACTCAGAGAGCCAGCAAGAGAATGGAAAGCATTTCGAGAAGTATTAGAAGTTTTGAAGAAAGAGAAGTTTTACGTAAAGTTCTCCAAATGTGATTTTAGAACATAAAAAAATAATCTAAAATTTTAATGTTATTTAATTCAAAATAACTAAATTTAATTTAATTAATTAATTAGGTGATAGGTTGGTCAAAAGCTTTGAGATTGGGAGTTATGGAATGACACTGAAATAAATTTGTTAAATTATAATTTTGACATAACTTGTAGGAATTTTAACCATTTAGATATGGGAAGTGATCCGTACACAACAATTTTTTGCCGTACACAACAATTTATGCATTATAAAGTTGTACAATACAACACTTTAAAGCACAAATTGTTGTGTGCGGAGAAAAAGTGTTGTGTACAAATCAGTTCCCTTTAGATATGAACCATCTTATATGAGACTATAAATGTTAACTAGAAAGTAATATTGGGTTATAAATAGAAACCTAGAATTAGAGATGTGAATCTTATCAATTATGGAAATTTAGGCATGACTTTGACTTAACTTTGTAAATTATGTTTTTACCTAAAATTTCAATATGTTAACATTAGAAGAGTTCAAATTAAACTTGTTAAGTTGGAAATGCTAAATCAATGACCTTTTATATCAAAGTTTAAAATAAGAAGTTAACGGACTAGTTTTCCAATTCAGAAAGTTTAGATCTTAAGTTCTAAATCAAAATCTTCCCTTCATTTTGAATGCTTTTATAGAGTGATTATAGAGATCTCAACTGGAAGAATATGAATTAATTTGGAGGAACAATACTATTTGGAGGAACAATACTGAAGCAACTCAAGTATCAACATCAAATTCATGTTGTAAAGTTTATAAGATCGTTAAGTTAACCAATTATTTGTCATTTTAGCTTTTAGAATTTGAGGATTGACATAAAAAATAAATTTTATGATGAAGCTTAAGATTAGTTTAAGCTTAGTGTTGAATTATAAGTTTATAACGCTAAATAAACTATGTAAGTAGATGTAGTCATCTGTATGATCAAAAACATAGTTTATGAAGTTTTAATAGTGGTTTGTGAAAGATCTTTATGTCAAAGGGTCATCACATAATGATATTTGTTAATAATACATGATCCTATAGGGTTACATTTTATAGGAAGTTACTACTAACTGATTATTTATTAAAGTAATTTGATTATTAGTAAATAATATTTTAATTGGAAAAGTTATTATTTTATGAAAATAATATTTTAACAATTAATTGAGAATTAACGTTTTTAAGAAATAATAATAAAAGAGAATAAAAACTAGTTATATTCATATGACATGAATATATGAGCCATGTACAATTAAATGGACACTTTGAGTATCCATCTGCTGTCCTTGTAACTAACTAGTTAGGAAGTAAGAAAATAATGATAATCTAGTTTTGACTTTCTAATCAAAACCAAGAGTACACACAAGTCTGATCTGTGTTGTTAGTTTTCATCTTACTCCATACTTATCATAAAGAACACCACGTTTTCCTGTAATATAAGGCTTGACTTTGTACACATTGGTACGTATAAAAGGAGGGCATTACTAATATAAAAAAATTGATCTTTTTCTCTCTTTTCTCTTTTCAACAACTAAAAATTTCATGGTTATTGAGCCATCCTTCCCTCTCTTCTTTCTTGCAGTTTAGTGCTAGATTTGAAGGTTCATAAGTCGCTTCTCCTTAAGGCTTATTTAGTATAAGTTTTAATGGTTTAAAAACAGCTTAATACAAGTAAAGACTAACATCTTGAAGTATTTTAGTCTTACTTGGTGGATACTTCTAGAGAAGCTTTCTTATGAGTCTTTTGCAATCTTCATCAACTTCTAACATCCCCAGAGGAATCAAAATCTTTAAAGGTTGTATAATATTTTCCTTCTACAGTTGTTAATCTTTCCATTATTTGTAAAATGATCATTGGTGATTTAAAAATAGTTTAATTTTGTTCTATTTTCAAAGCTTCTAAAAACGATTTTGAATAAAATACAACTCTTTAAAACCCTAACTTCATGAATTCATCCATGGCCTAATGGAGTTTGATATGGATGTAAGGGTTAGTCTTAGTATCATGTTTTGGATGTAATTTTAATAGTTTTGAATCAAAATTATAATGTTGAATCATCCAATTAAATTAAAAGTGAGTTTTTGGTGTTTTAATAAAGTTATGAGCTTGATTTTGACAAGACATAATACATTCTAATTAATAATCGATCGTGTTAATAAGGTTGTAGTATGATTATGAGTTAGCTTGTATCATCTTCAATGAAAATCATGTGTGAAAATCCAATTTATTGACCATCTTTGAATTTCAAATCCTTAACTGAATTTTATGAGACAATCTCTTTAATCTATGACTTGGTCGGATTAATAGTGATATAGGTATGTTACATGATTAAATATAATTTTGAACCTATCTTTAAACATTAAAATTCTTTAAAATTGGTGGTTGGAGTGTTCAAGGGTTTGGCTTTGGGCTTGAATAGTTGATTTTATCCAACCTAATATGAAGATTGACCCCAATAATGCTCATTAGGCTTCCCATTTTAAACCTTTTGAATGTTAAGATTACACTATTTGGGGCCTATTTCTAAAAATTTCCCATATGAGTGGTGTTTTAATTGGTATGAGAGTTTTAGCTTACGGAAATAAACACACATATACATATAGTCAAGTACATTTCAGGTTTTGATACAAAACTTTGAATCATTATCAATTTACTGTTTTCAACAGGATGGAATATAAATATAAATAAACAAAAAATTACTTATAAAGTCCGCCAAAAAGATTCATATACATAATACATATAAAAAATAATAACTAAAAAAGAATAAGATCAATCTTTTCTTTTGTTATGATAATGTCAGCTAAACCCTCCCCCACCACCAGCCTTCCAAATTGAAGCCATCCCTCCCACACAAACATGGTAAATTGTCTTTAATACCCTCCTCCCACCTGCCTCCTGCTTACATCATAAAAAATCAACCAAACAAAAAAATAGTCAAACATATTTTCTATATAATGTAACACTCAAGGGCCCTATAATTGACCAGCTTAAATGATGATTGGGCATCATGTTAAATAAAACCATTCTTGACTTCTTGTATATCTAAATTTGTGTCAAAGGGCATTTACGTCATTTGCATATACAATAGATCAAGAGCAAGTCTCTGTCCCACCTATTGACATCAATATCAGTCTTAATCAAACACATGTTAATAACCGTTCTTGACTTCTTTATATCTAAATTTGTGTCCAAGGGCATTTACGTCATTTGCACAGACAAGAGATCAAGAGCGAGAGTCTGTGTCTCTGTCCCACCCATTGATATCAGTCTCAATCCCAGTCAAACAAAGTACACGGTCTGTCATGTTTTGTGTAAAATCAAAACTCACCTAGGGACAAGATTGGAAATCTTGATTTTAATCTTCGCCAAAATTACCAAAACGCCCACTGCTAGACCTTGAACGGTCCGAACCGGAACCAGATTTTGAGAACCCACTTGACCGCATGTTGCCAAAACCACTTGACCGGTCACCGCCACGGTCAGAGCTCGACCCTCTAAAGCCGCCACCTGACCCGCCGCCATAACTTGACCCGCCAAAACCAACATCACGAGATGGTCTGCCGCCACCGCTTGACCCAAAACGACCCCGACCACCACCGCCACCGCCGCCGCCATAACCATCGGAACCACCAAATCTACCGCCAAAAGAGCTAGAACCGCCACCAAGCTCGATTCTTGAGCTTGCATCAACAGTGATTCTCGGAAGCTTGATAAATCACAACAAATGAGAAAATGAGATTATTATTATTAATCATTTTAAATGATGGGTAAACTCAATAAAAGTTTATAAAAATCCTTATATTTTGGTCTCATAATAAGATTTAGTCCTTATATTTATTTTATTCAAGTAAGTCCCAAAAACGGCAATTGTATTCATTTTAACCCTTTTACCTTGTCAGTCATCCTACTTTCAAAAAATACACTTTTGGCCCAGATTTCAAATTTTATTACAAATTTGGTCAAAATTTTACACTTTTGGCCTAGATTTAAAAATTTTATTACACATTCATCCTAAATTTAGTTTTTTACATCTTTTTTTTCAAAATTTTGTTTCGAATATATTTTTATGTTTTAGAAAATCATATTTATACAAAAAAAAACATTTTTCACATAAAAAACCTTCTTTTTTCTAAATAATTTTTTGTTAAAAAAACAATTTTTATGTGAAAAACATGTTTTTTTGTATAAATATGATTTTATACAACAAACAAAACATATTCAAAACAAAGATATAAAAAACCAAATTTAGGATGAATTCATAACAAAATTTTGAAATCTCGACCAAATTTTTAATAAATTTTAAAATTTAATCCAAAAGTATAATTTTTGAAAGTAGGACGACTTGTTGACCAAGTAAAATGGTCAAAATGAATACAATTTCCGGTTTTCGTGACTTAATTGAATAAAAAATATATATAAGAACTAAATAGATTACGAGACCAAAAATACAAGGACTTGTATGAAGTTTTCCCTTAAATGATATGCCATTATATTTACATTTCATAATTTATAATTTATACCTCTGAAAACCTGCATCCTACTTCACGTTCATATCCCTTCACATCTCTCATCTGCTGAGCTGAATGGATTAAGATCGCCCTTCCTTTCTTTCCAGCACGCCCTGTTCTTCCAGACCTATGAACAAACACTTCTGAAGAAGATGGAAGCTCATAATGTATCACCTAACGCAACAAACATACTTTCATTAACTTAACCAAATTACAAAAATGCCATTGAAATACAAACCAAAATTCACTTACAAGATCAACATTAGGCACATCAAGCCCTCGAGCAGCAACATCAGTGGCTACTAAAACATTGAAACGCCCATCTCTGAATCCTGCAAGTGTTCTCTCTCTTTGATTTTGAGTAATATCTCCATGAAGAGGTTCACAAGTGAAGTGCCTTTGCATTGCTTGTGATAATCTATCTGCATCACGTTTTGTTTGGGTGAAAACTATACACTTTCCCCCTTTTGCATGCTCCTGAAATTAAACATAAACGTAAGGTAAAGATTGGAAAGATTGTAATTATGAGGTAAATAAGTATATATATATATACCGCTATAAGTGGTCCAATAATTGATGGTTTATCACGATTATCTGATACAATAGAATATAATGTGATTCCATCAGCTAATTTTTGGTCAGAATCACCAACCTGTGATTAAAAAAGGGGAATTACTAATTAGTAATTACTATTAGTATCATATAACAAGATTCACAGAGGTAAAAAAGGAAAAGAGAAAATGGTGTAGATGAGTAGATCGGACTCACAAGATCGATAGTTAATGGACTTTTGAGAAACTTGCGAGTGAGTTTCACAATCCAACTTGGCATTGTTGCTGAAAACATCATGGTTTGGCGTTCTCGTGGGAGATATTCTAGAATTGTTTCAACGTCATCTGCGAAACCCACGTTGAGCATCTGATCGGCTTCATCGAGAACAGCGAATTTGACTTCTGATAGCTTCAAGGAACCTCTCTTGATCAGATCGATCACACGTCCAGGAGTGCCTACTATCACATCGACACCATGATCAATGGTGCTCATTTGACGTTGAATGGGTACTCCACCATAGACACAAAGCGTATCTAGATTGGGTGCAGCTTCGTAGAATTCTTTTTCTACTTGGCGAGCTAGTTCTCTGGTGGGAGCCAGGATGATGGCTAGTGGGTTTCTCCCTTTTCTGTGGATAAAAAGATCGATTTTTATCAATGAATATGCAAAAACACAGTTGATTTACATGAAAAGTATGAAGAAGCAAAAACGAAAAATGAAGTCAAGTACCCATTCTTTTGATTGAAACGAGTAATCTTATCCATGATAGGAATACCAAAAGCAAGAGTTTTCCCGGTTCCTGTCCTCGCACGCCCAATCATATCACGCCCTTGCATTGCTGGCTCAAGTACAGCTCTCTGTAAGGATTACATCATGAGAATATGTAGATATACGAATAAATTTCAATGTTAATGAACAGAATAAAGGTAAAATTAGGTTACCTGAATGGGAAAGAGCTTGGTTATACCCTTTTTGGCTAGAGCATTAACAATCTCTTGAGGAATCCCAAGGCTAGATATCTCAAGACCATCGGAAGAGGAAGAAGAAGAAGAAGATGATAAGGTGTCCTCTTCGTATAAAATTTCGGCTGTAGCAGCGAATCCGGCAGCCTGTGTTAGGACAGCGGAAGCCCTCACATCTACCCATCGAGAGGCGTGGAAATTGCTCCTTAAAACCCCAACGGTGGGATTAATGAAAAATTGAGATTTGACTGGAATTGCTATTGAAGATGAAGGAAGAAGAAGCCTGAGGGAGTTGCAGGAAGCAAGAGCAACGAGTCTGGTGGAGGTAGATGAAGCTCTGAAGAAGATAGTATTCATCATCATGTCTGTGGGTGCGAGGGAGGGAACGTTAAACCCTAAAATGTGAAGGGTTTTGGAACACACATAAGGAACACTTATCTTATATACTACTCCATAAGATAATAAAAATAAAAGATAAATAAAAGAAAAATATCATATTAACCCAACCAAAAGTTTTACCCGACCAAGTTTAAAAATTGTCACTTAATTTTTTATTTTTTTATACATTAAGGGAGTAAAGTTGAATTTAACATGCTCATTTGATCACTTTACTTAGAATATTGTTATATTTTTATATATTTTTACGTAATATTTTAATACATTTTAAGTAATATTTTGGTTATTTGCAAAGATGTTTGGTACTTATTAAATTAAATTGTATTTTAAAGCCAAATGGAACACTCTTGAAGAATATGAACCCGAATTGACAAGGATTGATTAAAAGAAGAAAATTCCAGTGAAAAAATGTAACTCACAACATGGCAACTAATCTTACGATGTGAGGAGGATATTCTAGAAGATTAGTATGCTGGAATTCATAATCATTGCCCGATACGGATAACTACTAAGCTAACGTGAGACCAATTCTCACGACGTGAGATATATATTATGGTAAACTATAAATGCCCCTTCACTCTTACGGTTTTGGGAAGCTTTTGGGAGGGAGGTATTCTAAGATAACCAATTTAGAGTTCAGAGAAGTGCACAAAACATTCCTTTGAAGGAGAATTCGCTTGAAGATTAAGAGATTAAAGAACACATCATGACACTGTTTTGATTTACTTTAATCATGTTGATTTATGTTGAACTTATGTTTTCGTTTTCGGCCATAAGTAGCTGAACTTATTTGCTTTCGTTTAGCTAGATGATACTTTGACTCTATGGTTTAGTTTATTAATTTATGGATTTTAATAATTGGTTTTGTGCTTGTGTTTGATTATTATTACCTAACATGTTAAAGTTGTGATGTCGTTGCTTAATTTCAAGTTAAGTGTAGCTTAGTGACCATTAAATTATATAAACTTGATTACCTAGTGATTTAGTGACCATTAAATTACTAGAGCTAGGATCGACCAAATCTTAGATAAGTAATAAAAGTAACAATTTTAGCTATGCTAGAGAACATAAATTGTGACCATATCCTATCTATAATTAATAACTAATTTTGTGTTTTGTTTATGTATGACCATACAAGGTAGTTCATAAATTGGTGAAAATATTAGTAAATTTGAACTTGAATTGTTAATTACATAATAAATGGTAACAAACTTTAGTAATCCATAATTAGTAATTAACCATAAGGAAAATGTGGATTTAAACTAAACGAAAGTATTTTTAGTATATTGATTAAAATTGTTAGTCATGTGTTTAAGTTTGTCTGAACTTGAAAAATCAGATAAAAACCTTTTTTAACTATTGCTTATTTTAGGTTAATTCTTAGTAATTATTTTAGTTAATTAAATTCGTTCCATGAGTTCGACCCGAATTTACTTTACTATACTCTAATCCGACTAGGTACACTACCTATAGGTGCAATAGTAGATAAGTAGTAAGGATATAATTTAAAACTAGATATGTGATATCTTTTGCATACATCAATAGCTGATTATAGTGCCATATGTGTTTCATCCAGCAGGTTTGATTTTTTATCTTTGATTTTTTAGAAAGTTTTGACCTTTAAAGTTGAGAGAGAGAATAAGGTTTATGAGATTCAAGAGCCGGCTGTGATGAAGATTCAAAAGGGGAATAAACGGAAACCACAACAGTGGTGTGAATCGGCTTGGGAAGGTGAAAGTGGAACGAGAATCACAAGTTCGGGCTTCAGGGTTCTCTTTTGAAATTAACTTCATCATTTCGGATCACCGTTGGTTCGCCTTCACAGTTCGCACCACCATGTCAGACGCAGTCCCCTCCACCCACCCTATCCATCACCTTGTTATTCGAATCTGATACCGCCTAGAAATCACAATCAGATTCATGTGAACCTTTTGTTATCGTTCTCTTCTATTCACATCCTTGACCTGTGTGGGACAGAGGGAAGACCTGGAGCAATTTCTCTTTCTCCACATTCTTAGAACCTCAAAATGGTTGTCAATTGTGTTACGAACCATATGTGTGCATGAGAGGTTGTCTAGACAAGCAGATGAAATCATGGAGCTGGGTTGAGAGAGGATGAGTTCTTAAACTTTAATGACATTTCATATTTTTTTTTCTCGATTCCATGTAGTTACTGCATCCATGATCGATTATGTGTATATGTAATTTGATTTTGATCAATTGCGTGCAGATATATGTCAATTAGGACCAACAAAGAGGGAGGAATAGAAGGCATCATCAACTTGGGTTTTTAGTGGATACCAAGGTAGCTGGTGACGATGGATATAAGGCTTAGTACAAGAAATAAAAACGACATGGAGGATATGGGGATGAAGGCTATGTAAAGGGAATTTTTGTGATGTGTTTAATTTTTACCAAAATTCCATATAGCACCCATATTACCTATTAACCCGGTATTAGGTAATATAAGGACATTTTAAAACAGTTAAATGTTACTTTATTCCCTTAATGTACCAAACAAACAATTTTCTTCTATATTATTTCATTAACTTAATAAATCAATCTACGCTATAAGGCTAAAGGAAGTCATACCGGTGGTAATATGTGACACATAGGATGATAGTGATATAAATTTTACCATTTTTAAAAAAGGTTAAAGGGTGGTGTTGATAGTGTTCACTGGAGGTAAAGATGAGAGAGAGAGAGAGAGAGAGAGAGAGAGAGAGAGAGTAGATAGAGAAAGACACATCAATAGTTTCATCAACGATGGAAACATACCATCGGTATTATACCACCGGTAAAATTATGGGTGTGGGGCGGTGTTCACCTCCGGTAAAAGGCTGCCACATAGGATTGTCGGCGGTGAAAACACTACCACACCCAACAACCTTATTTATCTTCAATAAAACATTTAGGGTGTGATTCGTTGAGAACTGAAAGTTAGTACTTTGTAGTTGATAGTTAATATATATAGTTTTTATTTATGTAGAAATATATGGTAAAAACAAAGTTGTAAAAAAATGTTCAACGATAGGTAGTCAGTGCGGTCCACTCCACTGGAGTCAAGGGATTAATTGATGTAAACGAGGATTAATCGGCGTAGGTAGGGAATCAAGGATTAATCGAGGATGAATCAGAGACCCTCGATTGTAAATTTGTTAAAGTTTAACAACTTAAATATGACTATTATCATAACATAATTAGTAAATATCATTAATATCATAACAAACTAGGCTAATATAATTAATACAGCACTAATTATTCCTCAAAAAGTTTTCATTGAGATATGACTTCTTTAAAATGTTAAAAATTCATCGGATTCTACACTTTCACTTATTGTCTAGGCAGAGATTAATCGTCTAATATATTCTTACGAACCGAGTAACGCCTAGGGATTAATCGGAGATCAATCAGGACATAGTTGAGATTTTTACAACACTGAGTAAAAATAGTTGTTACCTTTTAGATGTGTAAAATTAGTTAAAAACTAAAAATTAAAAGCTCCAAAAAAACTAAAAACTACTTAAAGTATCTTCTGGATTCGAAGTTTTTATTTAAAATAAAAACTAAAAACTTTAACTTTCTTTCTTTTAAAGTTTTTTTTAATAATTTTTTATATTTATATAAAAAAATTAAAATAAAAAATAAAAAAATAAAATAAAATAAAATAAAATAAAAACTTAAAATATAACTTAATAGTATAATATTTTCGTTCAGGTGTATTATTTATTAACATTTAGATAGCCAAAAGGTTTAAATGATCTAAGGAGGAAAATTGTTAATATCTTATATAATTTGATCATGAATATAGAGAAAGAGACAATATAAAGGAAATAAGGAGCTCTCACATCTTAAAAAACTTTATTTTATGTCTATTTGTTGGAAAAATATGTTTACTCATTTTTCAAAAGGGGTAAACGATGATACATTTGTCTTCTTTACTATGGTACCTTCTTTTTTACATATTAAAATGACTAAAATTTCAGATGAATGAGAAAATAATAATCAAAAGTATGGTGGTCGAAGATGTTGGTTAAGTTGTTAAATGGCTTTTTAAGCCATACCAATTTCCACATACAGGGAAGATTAAAATAATATGGTTTATATAATTATATGCAGGAAGATTTCAAAGGGTTGTAAATATTTATAACACCAAGACTCTATATTGCTTATACATGGTGCAAATATGAACCGAAATTGACTTCGCTTAATTACACTTGTGTGCTCGCTTTAAGACACTACATACCACTTTTTTTTACCATAAAAGTTAATATTCTCTTTAATATATATATATATATATATATATATATATATATATATATATATATATATATATAGAGAGAGAGAGAGAGAGAGAGAGAGAGAAGATCCGATGATGACTTTTTTTCGGTGAGAACTCATAAAGACACCTTAAAAATAAAAAAAAATAAATACAAATCATAAAATTGAGCATAACGCTATATCGGAGAGAAAAAATTGGGAAAAATTTTTTGTATCGTTCAAATTGAAGAATAAATCATTTTTTTGATTCATGATTCAATTTTAATGATTTAATTTTTTTTTCTCTACGATGTATTACTATGCTCGATTTTATGATTTGTATATTTTTAGATATTTTTTCAATTTTTTAAAAGTGTCTTTACGAATCCTCACCGGAACCGGACCACATATATATATATATATATATATATATATATATATATATAATTAGGATTTTTAGTAAACTATAGACCATTTATGTAATTTTGTCTTGAATATATATATATATATATATATATATATATATATATATATATATATATATATATATATATATATATATATATATATATTCAAGACAAAATTACATAAATGGTCTATAGTTTACTAAAAATCCTAATTATGTGAATGGTGCTTATGATATCTAAACCTACATGAAAAATTATGTAGTTTTTCTTAAATTGTATCAATGGTAGTTTCTCTAAAACTTGCATCAATTGTATCAATGGTCTTAAAGCTATATGAAATGTTTTTT